TTCGGTCCCTCCTGGGATTCGGAGAGCTTCTCGGAACGCGTAAAGGTTTGGGACTTCAAGGCGCTTTGGGCCTTGTAGCATTGTAAGGTCCGGGGCATGTCCGTCGCACACTTCATGAGGTGAGTTGGGTTCACAGGTTGACGTGCTGGAGCGCCCTCAAGGGTCTTCTTGGCTCAGGGCATACACTGTACGCAACAAGCCAAGTGCCTAATACACAAACTCACGCCAAGCCAACCTCCTAATCGACTCAAACCCCAAACCTGACACCTGCAAGCCTCAAAACCCTAAAACAACTCCCCCTTCCCCCGTTCCTTCCGTCCGTCTGCCTTTAAACTCCAAACAAGGAACCCTAAACAAACCCTAAGCTCAAACGAAAGGAAGGCTCCTTGCCGCTGACGCGCCGGCGCACGGCCTCGAGCCTTGCCTTGCCATCCTGCAAACAGTTTCTCTCGGGGTTTAAGGCTTCTTCCGTGGTTTTTTGTTTAAGGCTTTATGAAGTTTCGTGCTTTCGGGGGAGGGTTAGGGTTTACGATTTAGGATTTTAGGGTTTGGGAATTTGGGGTTTCAGGGTTCGGGTTTCAGGTTTATGGTGTAGGGTTTGGGGTGATTAGGATTTAGGTCGCACAGGTTTAGAGTTAGAGTTTCGGATAGTTCTGCTACCTGTATTGCAGCCCATAACTACCCCTTGTTCCCTTTCAAGGGTACTCGGAGTTAGGGGTTTAGTTCAGGGTTTGAGTTTCGGGCCAGAGGGTCAGGGGCCTTGGGATTTTTTGGCAAAGGGCTGGGGGTTGAGGGTTTGAGGCTGTTTTGGCTTTCTCATTTTGAAGTTTAAGGGCTTAGCGGAAGGAAATTCAGGTGCCCTTTGAATCAGGTATGAACCACGTGTATAGAGCTCCTCCTTATGATGGCTGAAGCCCTCACGTAGCCAGTTCTGCGAAAGTGTCGAGACTCGCATTGAAACATGCTCAACCCTAGCCCTGACAAATCAGCAAAGCTTTCTGAGGCCGCCGCGACGCCGGGGGGGATGGTCTGGAGGTTCTTGCCTCAATGAGCCCACAACCATAAGCTGAAAAGCTGAAAGCTCCAAAACGGGAGGGTACGAAGTTCCCCCCGGCCCAGAGTTCAGGGTTGAGAGACTAGGGCTGACTAGGGTTTACGGTGTCGGGGTCTTTGGCTGAGTAATTGAGATGTATGGGGGCATCTGAGGAGTCAAAGCTGCCTGCCTCGCCTAAATCCGGATCTCTTGCAGCGAGATGCTAGCCTAAAGCCCACTCCAAGCCATAAGCCGGGAATCCCTAAACCCTAAGACCCTAAGCCCTAAACCGCCTCAACCCTGGACTCCAACAACCGACCCTCTGCAGAACACCTCGAAACCAAATGCCAGGATTCTCATCCGAATAATACCATGGCACATCGCGGTTCTTGCGATGAGTGCGGGCACGATCATGATTCAGACTGTGCTTGTGGTCCCATTCGGGGCAAACCGCAGCATCAATGGCTACAATAAGAAACGGCCATATTCCTTCATGGTTTAATTTGTCGGCTTTGCAGCTCCCTTAATGTGACTCCCTGGAGATCTCAAACGCTGGAAATGAGGTCACCACCGTACATGGAGGCATCACGGAGTGCACCCGCGGTGACTCATAAGTACTGCCGGTCTGCTGTGCTGACCGTGCTTTGGTCTTGGAGGGTCAGGGCTAGGGCTTCAGCCTACAGGGCTTGAGTTGGGGGGGGGTGGTCAGCCCCGGGTGTTTGTGTGATGCTTCTCCTTTCCAGGGCGTCTGACGCTACCGTTACCACCGCGGCTGAGAGATGGCGTTTCAGCCGTAGGGCTTCGAGAGCGCTGTGGGCACAGCTAGTATAAAAGTCTTATTATCAGAAACCGACAGACTACTGTCACTGCTCTTGGCGGTATTCTGAAAGTCCTCTGAGTGAGTACTTGTCGTTGGCAGAATGACGTCTGGCGCGCTGAGAGCTACCGGCCAAAGAAGCTGCATGATCGCAGGTCCAGACCGCAGACTGGACTGGCTGAAAGGGTTTAGGGTTTAGGGTTTTAGGGTTTAGGCGTTTAGGGTGAAGTTCTGGGATGTCAAGCTTTAGGGATTTTGGCCTGAAGGGTTAAAGCAAGGTCTAGCGGTTCAGGGGCGAGCTTCACATGCTCATCGGCTCATCGTTTCACAGGCTGAACAAGAGCTTAATAAAGCAAAGGCAGGCATGGTTCAGCATGGCCGGATGTTGCTAAGGAGGGGCTTAGATCACCTAGCGGCTTGCCGGCTTGCAGCGGAAACTAACGCATAGACTGATGCCTTTTCATGTGTCTCTTTGTGCTGAACTGAGCCCGAAACCGAAACCCTTCTTTTCAGAGGGAAGAGTCGGCAGGCACAGGTCCCATCTCGGAGGATGCGCTCACTCCTTTCGCTGGATCTGCCGTCTGACCTGCACAAAACCCCCCGATGCGGAGCCAGGATTCGGGTAGGGTGGGCTTCTGTTTGGATCTCAGACGACTTGGGATGTCGATAGGAACTCTGAGCCCTGAAGAGCCCCGAAGATCTGCAGGACCTGTTGGCACATAGGGCTTTGTGGGATAGGACACAGCATGACCTCGTGCTCAAAGTTGGGAGGGCCTTCTTCTTGGAGTCGTTGTCCGGCACCTTGACGACCTCAGTCCCACCGGACGAAGACAGAGAAACACTGGGCAGTAACTGATCTCACTTCCATTACGTCACAGTTAAGGCCACCACCAAAGTGTGCTGATACCATGCCTGCAGGAGGTTAGCTTCTTTCATGCCACAGACTGAGGCGAATAGGCCTGAATCCTAGACCTGCAAGCAATCCCTAAACCCCAAGCCGCAGCCCCGTGACGACATACTAGATATACTACGCAGTAGTGCAGGGATTCTTCTGCAAGAGTCCCTCAAAATTAGGATTTAGGTGTCAGCCTTCAGGGTGCGGGCTTTGGGTTTGCACCCCACCTCCCACTCCCACCAGACTCCAAAAAGCCTCCAAAGCTTCACTTAAACTGTAGATACCGTAGCCAGACATGCACTTCAACAGTGTCGGGAGGAAGTACGGTAAAGGCCTTGGGATCTGGCTTGAACTTGCTGCTGTGAGGCGCTTGCGCCGGCTCCCCGTAGTATCTGCGAGCGTGGGAGCTCACGTCTACATGTCCGGCTTAGGGCATGCGGAGTTCAAGGGTGGCTAGGGATTACGGTCAGAGGATCAAGGTAGCTGAAGGCTGGAGAAGCTTGCGTTTCACAGGGTCCTGTGTAAGGCCAGGCTTGCTAGCCAAAAAATCTGTCAACGGGTGCATCGATGAGCACTTCCGACACACTGGTTAAGCCCTTGCGCCAGAGCCCGCGCACTTGAACACCGCAACTCCATGTACGCCCTTGTTCCTGTGAAAGCTGGGCCGAAAGTGCCCGACGGTAGAACGCAGCACCCCGCCTCTTGAAGAACTGCTCCTGGGCACATGCGGGCAGTTACTGGCTTCGACTTGAAAGCCTGCAGGTCTCCACTTGTGGGACGGAGGTTTTGGATTTAGGGATTTAGGGCTGACCCTAAGATTTGGTGCCTCCGCTTCTACTTTTGCCCTAAACCTGACCTACCACATCTACAGTCCAAGGCCTTTCGCTGTGTGCACCCTGACGCGTCCCCGCGACGAACCGAAATCATGAACCCCGATGCTCCGACCTCAACCTCCCATGCTCCGAAGGTGCAGCGGTGCAACGGAGCATGGACACTTGTAAGCCCTGCACCTTGAAGCCTGCCTAAACATCATCTCACCACAGACCGGCAGGGCAACTGGGGGCCGCGCCATGTCCATCGCCTTGGGCTTCCCGCTCATCACTAGTGATCAATTAGTTAGGGGGGCGGGGGCGTAGGTTGTCTTTCGTGGTTATTCATTTTCTGGCGACAGGGCAGTCTGGTTCACGGGCTGTTGGTGGTCTGTGTTTCGGGCGCCTTTAGAACCATGGATTCATGATGATAACGCTCTGATAGTGGTGATGGAGGTCATGGTGGTGATGGAAGGGATGCCAGCAATGGTGGTGATGGTGGTGATGGTGGTAATGGTGATGATGGTGGTGATGGTGGTGATGGTGGTGGTGATGGTCGTGTGCGATGGTGGTGTGCGATGGTGGAGTGGCGATGGCGGAGTGGCGATGGCGGAGTGGCGATGGTGGTGACCGACGGTGGTAGTAGTGGTGTGGTGGTGGTGACCGCTGGTGGTGATGGTAGTGAAGCTGGTGGGGATGGCGAGGATGACGGCGACGATGATGATCTCTGTTTTAGCCTTATCCTCATCGCCATGATCGCTTCTGCCATCGTTTCAAGGACCGTCACCCTCAACCCGAAACCCTGTAAATTCCAACCGAATCTCAAGCTCTGGGTCCTCGAGCGGAAATCCAGAATCCTGAAAAGCCAAACCAGCAACCCTGCAGACAAAGACCCAAAACACAACAAGACCGACCCTGCGACCCAGATCCATGACCCCTGCTGGACCCTCAGGTCTTCGCCCCGGCGGCCTGAAACCACAAGCCTGACACAAAAAGCCCTAAGAAACCTTAAAGCCTAGTATACAAGCCTGAAACTGACTTGAAGCTTGGGGTTTTCCATACTACTTCCCCCAAACCCTAAAACCACGAACTAAACCCCAAACCCAAAACCCCTAAACCCTAAACCCTGCCGGGTCACGGATCTGTGAGGGCTCGGCTCCGGAGCTTCGGTGCCCACCTGCCTGAGATTCGGGTTGAGGGATCTCGGAGGATCAGATCCGAGATAGGGTTTAGGGTTTTAGCTAGGGTTCTGGGATTTTGAGGGGATCAGATTCGCAATAGGGTTTCGGGTTTAGGGTTTATGCATGCGGTCTCTCGGACAGTCTCGAAGTAACGGGTTTTTTTTTTTTTTGAGCTCCTTTTTGATGCCTGCTCCCGGGTCACACACATCAAGGCCTGAAGGCCAGGAGAGATTGGCAACATCGTTGCCCACCACGAAGTCAACTCTCACTTCTCCACCTCCGGAGTCCCATCGTCACTCTTGCCCATGTTCAGCCCTTCAGGAGCAACCCTCACACCCTCGTTCGAAGCGATAGCATGGATCCCTAACAAATCCAGGGTGGATTCTTCACGGCTTTCCATGTAGGCAATGTGCTGGGTCTGGAAGAGATCAAGAAGGGCGGCACCATATTTAGCATGAACCTGTTGGTCGGTAAGTTCACCTTGCTCCCATTGCGCAAACAACACCCGGAAGTCCTCCATGGTGAGCTCCGGCGGGATGCCAACCTGGGTCTCATCACTCTCCATGCTCAGCCCATGCGGTAGGTCAGCCCGAGTCGCACCCTCAGCTGGCAGGATGACAGTCGGAGCCTCGCTAGAAGCCGGAAGCAGCCCCTTGTGCAGCGTGTCCACAGACCCCTTCTCTCCTGGCTCAGACTCTTCAGCACGAGGGGGAAGAGGCTGGGTGTCCATATCCTCGCGCAACACCTCAGTCGACACCTTGAGTTCCAGCAAGACTTTTGTCTCTTTGTCATCCTGCAAGGGCACCTTGAGTACCTTTGCCTTCCGAGGCAAGTCATTGCTGCCAGAGGCGATTTCCACCGTGAGTACAGGACGTTTGCGACCCACAGCCGGGGCACCATGCATTTCAGACCACATAGCCCAATCATCCCACTCCCTCGCCTGCATCGCTTGGTACCTTTGGAGCGCATGTTCTTCACGACGTAGTTCCTCTCGTACTTCCCTCTCCCTTGCCTCCTCCATCCATTCTTGCTCGCGCAGTTCTCGTTCACGTTCGAGTCGGGCTTCCTTCTCATCCTCCAAGAGCTCGGACAGCTCGGCATCAATGGCCGTTTCATACACCGGATGTGGTGGTGGTGGGCCAGCAAACCCGCGCTGCGAAGCCGACTGCGGCGAACTTGGTGGGTCCGGGCTGTCTTCCGGTAGGGCTCGCATGAACAAGATCGGATCGGGATCACATGTCTCCACGGCCCGGCCACACGCTGCAAGAGAGCCGAGGTTGATTGGCAGGTAGACCTCCACTTGTTGCCACCTTTCCAAGCACCACAGTTCCCCCGCATCCACCGGTTCGGCCCCCGAGGCGTCCTCCACAATGACCGTCAGCAAGGCCAAGAGGTCGGCCGCCCTTCCTTTCGCATGGCCGAGAAGGTAGCCTTTCTCAACATTCGTGCTGCGATGGTGCAGGCGTCTCAACAACCACTTCGCGTTGGAAAGCTGGGCCCCTTTGGTCTGCACCAGGAACGCCTCGTGGAGCTGGGACAAGCATTCGACCCAATCCTCCTCTGTGTACTTGCTCGCTTGGTACTTTAGGCCCTTGAAGGTGTGCGTCATCATGTAGCTCACGGTGTCCACGTCCTGTGCCGCGTGCCCCTCCCTGTGACCATTGTACTTCACGAAGGTCTGGATGTACAAGTTGTCCTCGTCCTCCTCATCATCTGGTTCAACCTCGACCGTGGTTTCCCTGTTTTCCTTATTGACAGCGGCCTCCAAGGTACGGCCAACTATCACCATCAGCCTCTGAACGAGCTGCGTGAAGGCGAGGACCAAAGTCAAACGGTCCCTTGCCCCGAATGACAGCAGCGTGTCTGTGATGCTGTCCAGGGTGTAGGGCGGGAGCACCGCCCCGGGCTGCTGATCCAGGTCCTCATTCCCTGCCATGCCCAGCATCAGGATCCAAGTCTCGACTGCCTCTTCCATAGAAAGAGGTGCCGCCGGAGGTGCCGAGGAGGCGCTGGATCGTTCCTCCCTTCTCGCTGGTGGCGGTGTTTTTGGCGGGGGAGGCGGAGGCGGGCAGAGCGGAGCACTCTGCGTCTCTGTCCTTGTCTTCTTGGAAGCCCTTCCCTCAGGTAGTAGGCGACGAACCTCTGTGGTAGTCCGAGGTGGGGGTCGAGACGATGCACCGCTGTCATGACGTTCCGTGCGCCGTCTCCGCGTTCGTCTTCTTGTCGGAGGGAAGAGCCACTTCTTACTAACCCGTTTCTGCACAAATCCCGTAGTGTCGTGCTCTTCAAGGGAGTCCACCTTCCCATCCACGGCCTGGTACTCCTCGTGGAGCATGTAGTCGACCTGGTAGAGGCCGCCGAAGTCCTCCTGCTCCATGTCCTCGTCGTCCGTATCACTGAGGCTCGGAGTTCTGGGCCTGGTACGCGGGATACCGGAGCAGCACCAGAACATCTCCGTCTCCATGAATTCAGCCCATTCTGGTCCACCAGGGGCAGCCGGCCCCACCGAGGAGAACTCATGTGCCGCGCGTTGGAGGTCATCGACGGTGGCCAAGGCATGTCGTGTGTAACCCTCTCTTTGCCGGGCTGTTACATGGAGTCTGAGGAGGTCGTACAGGTGTTCCGTCCCAAAGCCGGCCACGCTCCATCCTTGGATGTCAAACAGGGCGTCATGAGTCCACCATTCCCAGGTAGTCCAGCGAGGATCAACTTCGCGTTGGGGCCGCGGTCCACGCACGAAGGGAGGCCGTGTAGAGCTCGAGGCCGAAAGCTCCCCTAGTCCATGTAGCTGTGCCAGCAGAGGTGAGAGGCGCCGCCGTATGTTGAAGTAGTCTCGACTTATGACCTCCTCCCTGGTTGCACCATTCTCAATGGGGATCTCAACCTCGAAGGTGTCCCTGTCCCCTGCAATCCTTTCCAGCTCCATTTGCTCTTCAGGGTAACGGTGGTTCATAAATTCTTCGTGCCCATGTTGATCCACATATCGGCACCATGTTTGGGCAGCCTCCGAGACAACAAGCGGGAGGCAGGCCGTGCGCGCATAGTCCGGCACCGACAGGGCCATCTCACCCAGGATGTCCCCGAACCACAGGAAGTACTCCATGTCGTTACGGGAGGCAATGACGAGCTCCAGGTAAGTCAGGAGTTCGCCCATGTCGCACCCTTGGGCTTGCAGCGTCCCCATCTGTCCCATGGCGTGGTGGTACCAGAAGGGGGGCCACGGTCCAAACACATGGTGTGGCTGCCCACAGGTCGCGGGGAGCCCGTCCAGTGCCATGCCGAGTCCCAGCCACATCATGCCCGGCCGTTGCTGGAGCGCGGCCAACCACAACCAGGGAGTCGCAGGCGGGGCCTGAGTCTCCGTCACCGGTGCTGAGAGGCGGTCCACGTAGTCCCGAGGGGACCCGAAAGAAGAAGTAGTAATCAATCGTGGTGTCATACATCCCTTAGAATCATTGAAGAATTGCCACCAACTCATCACGAGGAGGCCGGCAAAGAGGAGCATCTCCAGTCGCAAGGAGCGAAGCATGCCCACAGCCATGTAAAAGACGTAGGTCGCCGAAAGGGAAATCAGGCGGGGCGAGGAGCCCAGGCTGCAAGCAACTCAGAGTTTCACGTCTTCACATGTTGCAACCCTAACCCTCATGAGAACCCTGGCAAGGCCAACTGCCGCCCTGAAGCCCACGGGAGATCGTTCTGCTGCACCCAGTCCTCCCTAAACCCTCTCCACTTGGCCCTGTCGTGTGAGCAATCCCTCCAGTAGGTACCGCAGGTTTTGTTCATACGTTCTTCAAGGATGGATAAACGGGCATAGTGGTGTCCCTCATGAGTGATGCCATGCGGGGATTGCTGTTGTTGTCGCCACCACGAGAGCGTTCTGAATTGGTCGATCAATGTACTTAGTGGCGGCGATTCCGACAAGACTGCTCGAGTACGATGGCCTGCATAATCCCACCATCTACGGAGCCACAACGTGCTCCACCTTGAGAAGCCCCAACGGTGAAGCGCGTATTTGGAGCACCGAACTGAACGACGTCTGAACTCGATCCAGGTTTCCGTGGGAGCCTTACTATGTCTGAGCAGCCAACCCAGAAGCATGTTCTGCACGGCATTGAGGAGGCCCATTGCAGCTCGATCCGGTGGGAGTGCCGCGAGGCACCAAAGACCTGCACCCGCAACCACCCTCTCGAAAAGTGCCAGCCGTCCCGGAAGGGCAGTCTTGCTGCGAAGTAGATGCTTGATGCTCCAGAACTTGTTCTTAGCCCTCGTTAGAAGCGGTTGCACAAGTTCGCAGGCAGTCATGCCTTTCCTGAGAGACAGCCCCATGATTTCAATAGCTTCCACACTGCGAAGTAAAGACCCTTCGACCCTCATGGTACGGTCGCCCATCACATCCGGGGAGCAGTAAAGCTGACATTTTGCCACATTCACCACGAGCCCATACCCCGCAAGCACCGACAAGAACTGTTCCAGCTTCTTTGCCACAATGCTAGTCGAAGGACCCCACAGTAGGCCATCATCCATGAATAAGGCGTTTTCGTGAACAAAGTCCTCAAAGACCCTCGGAATGGAGACCCAGGAGAACTTCTGCGAGGTTTCTTCAAGAGCTTCTTCCATGAGCAACCCAAAGAAGCTCGGCGACTCAACCGACCCTTGTTTTATCCCTGTAAAGAGACCGAAGTCGGAAGTACCCCACGGAGAGATCAAGGTAGCCTTGTTGTCAAGGAGAAGTCTTTCAAAGCAACACATTTCAGCAGTATCGCCAAGGCGGGCACGTAACTTGCTGATAAGCTTAGCTTTGTTCACACTGTCAAAGGCTTTCCGGATATCAACCTTGACACAAGCGATGGGCCGGTGCCATTCTCGGCATAATTCCAGAACCCGCCATATGCTGAAGACATAGTCCGCGGTTTGCCTGTGTTTGCGGGCGCACTGCGCCGGAGACCGCGGTCCCAGGCGGGGCAAGCACCGGTTGAGCAGCAACCTGGCGAAGAGCTTGGATGCCCCGCTCCCAAGTGCGATTGGCCGTAAGTCCCCTGGGGTGGCGGGGGCGGCCACCTTAGCGAGGAGCACGAGTAGGACATGATTCCAGTTCTCGGGGATATCTTTGTGCTGCAAGATTCGGGTGAAAAACTCCGCCAAGTGTGCTGCACCCCCGTTCGCGTCGATGATCCCCTGGAAGAGTTCCTTACAAGTGCCATCCAGCCCAACCGATTTTCCGGACTTCATCTGACCAACAGCCCTGATAACTTCCTCGCTGGTGAAGGCCACAACAGGTCCATCATGTACCACTGTTTTACTCGTAGGTGTCCCTTTGTACAGACCCTTGAAGTGCCTCTCAACGACCTGGTGCGGATCCTCGGTCTGTTGATCGGTGAACCCTGAATCCCACGAGAGTTGACCCTCAAGGCGGATATCCCTGATAGCCTGCCAATCACATTGCGAAGCCCTGTTGAGGCGGTCACGCTCCCACACACGACGAGCCTGACGCCGGAGTTCCAGGGCTGCTTTCCAAGACTCCCGGGTCTTGGCGGTTCTCGCTCTGCGGAAGGCCTGTTTGACGTTGTTCGGGTCCTTATAAGCACAGGAGGGTTTGGGTTTAGTGTGCTCCACAACCATACGCGCGAGAGACTCCACTGTAAGATTGTCCACCTGCTTGAGAGTCCCACACCAAACTCTGGGCCCTGTCTGCGGTCTGCTGAAGGTCTTCGCCGCCCGAATTGCAAAGGTCCCCTGAAGCATCTCATGGTCAGTGTTGAGAAAGAGATGCGACCCCTCGTGTGTGCGTCCCTCCACATGAAGCAACCCTTTGCTCGCGAAAAAGTCAATCCTCGACCCTGCTCTACCCGCTTGCCGAGGCCGGCTTGTAGGGAGCAATTGTTGCGACCTTAGCGGTGCCAGGGGCTGGAGAGACTTACCAGCAAGCAGGTCAAGGGCAATAAGGGCTTTCCCATCAAGCCCCGAGGCCTCATCACCCTCAGCACGCTGAACCCATGCGACAGGAGCATTGAAGTCGCCCTGAACGACAACCCTCCTGCACTTGGTGGGCATCCCTTCAAGGAAGGCTTGCAAAGCTTCTGCATACTCCACCTGAGAAAGCCCCGGAACCACATGAACGGATCCAAAGACGACCGCTTCACCAGTAGCCAAGTGTTTCAACCGAACCCAGATTCCCTTTCCTGCAAGCTTCTTGGAGATGGGGGACCAAGCAAGAGGGTTGTAGGCCACCCCACAACCACGCCACTGATCCACACATCGATGCGAAAGCACAGTGAGTCCCTGCACCTTATCACTTTTCCATCCTGGGCGAACCCTAGGGCACTCTTGCAGCAACACGACAACCTCCTTGGGAGGCGGCCCGATGCTTTCTGCAACCGCCGCGGGCAACTGCTCCAACGGAGCACCACCCACGTTCCAACCAAACGTCCGAATCTTTAGTGCATGCATAGTCGCCTCCGGTGCCCGTGTCGACGGCTTATTACCACCCACACCAGTCCCAGCGGCAATTAACCTGAGCTTCTGAAAGCCTGCCTGAAGCGGTCAGCGTTGGAACTCCCTGAACCCGTTGCGAAGGTCCACCGTAGAGACCCCACTGACCCTGGCGATCGCCCCGAGATGGATCCAAGGCCTGGCCACCAGCCTGTCGTCCCATAGCATTTCCGACTCATCGACACCCCCCGGCGGAGGCCGGCTGACACTCGCGACCATGTACTCCCCGAGCCAAGCAGTCCCGCTGCCGTACTCGAGGTCGAGGTGCCCCACGAGTTCCTGGTTGAAGCTGGCCAAGGATCTTTTCACCCACGAGCAGTGACTGGAGATATCCCTCTGCGCCTTGGACTTACTGTAGCTGCTCCACATGCGCTTCCCGTGTGACGTTTGAGCCTTGGCCTCCGTCACTCCCATGAGCACCGTATGCATACGGGTCTTCCGGTCACTGTCAGCCTCACCTTGACGGAGCTCGAAGGGAAGAAGAGCAACGCTGCGACGGGGTCCTGTGGTGAAGGGAGCCTTGTCAGTGTACTGCTTGAGGTTCAACCGTGTCAAGGCCTCCTCGACCTCGTTCAGGATGGTACGGCGCTGGGTGTCCGGGTTCCATCCCCCAAAGACCAGTGTCGCCCGCCTTTTCTCATCCATGTCGTCGATCGGCCCTGCCCGAGCCCCCCCTTGAAGAAGTCCTTCGAGTCGTTGCACCTTGGCCTCCATCCCCTGGATCTTGTCAGTCATGTCCCGGAACGTGGCATCAACCTGGGAGAACCTGGCATCGACCTTGGTCTCGAGGGCTTGGCAAACTTGCTCCACATGATCCCTGTTGTGCTTGACGATGTCATCACGGTGCTCCGTGAGTAGCCCACGCAGAGTGTGCCAGTCGAACTTTTCCGGGGCCTTGTTCTTCTTCGAGCGCGGCGGCGGCCCTTTGCTTTCACCCCGACGTCTCTTGGGACTGGAGTCCCCTTCTTCACTGGATTCTGGAACAGGTGGCATGGCAGGTTCCACGGTCCCACCGCCTGCCCCGAGCTGCATGTCGCCCACGGGAAGCCGTAGTGGAAGCCCCGGATCGTGTAAAACGGCGCCCCCCGGGAGTACCCCTTCCGCCCACCTTGTCCGAGAACCAGTCGGTCAACGCGACGGAGGAGACCAGGCGAACCCCAATGCCCTGGGCACAACAGGAAGCCGGAACCTGCGCACTACGGGGCCTTGAGCCAAAATGGCTTGAGCGAAGTAACGGGTTTAGGGTTCAGGGTTTGGGGGAGTAGGGTTAGGGTTGGGGATATTGGGGGGAGGGGTAGTTCGAAGGTTGGGTTTGAGGGCTTGGGCATTCACGGGTCTGCACTTACCCGCCCCGAAGAACTCTCGTTGAGCCCGGGGCAGAGTCACAGGTCGGTTGAAGTCCGGGCTGTTCTTCAGTGACATTGCCATGGCGCCTCAGACGAGGTTGCGATGAAGGATCAGGGACTTCCATGCCGGGGGTTTGGGACGAATAGGTTGGTAATGAATACACAACGATACTCCTTAAGGCCTTAGGACTCCTTAGCTTAGTTGCTACTCCTCTTGCTACTGCTCTCCCGACCCAAACCCACAACACCAACGAATCGTTGTTACACGCCAGCATGAAATTCCAGCGGGCTCATAGGTACCGCTTCGGCACCAATGCAAAAATTCCCCAACTAAACTTCAGATATGAAGGCACCCTTTCTCGTACTGACGCACTCAAACTCAAACAATACAACTAAACAACTACTACAGTAGGGCACCCTACGATATGCTGTCAATCAAGCACAATCAAGCCCTTTTCGGCCTCAGGGGGCTGAGCTTGGAAACGTTTCCGCCAGGGGCCAACATCAATGCCGAAAACTAGGCACGTACCATCACCCGTGGGTCAAACCCTACACCGTGAGGCTACAAGCTCATTGCAGAACTTCTTGGAGCGGTGTGTGCATGGCCCTCTTAGTCTCCGGAATTTGCATCTCAACAAAACTTCTTTGACGCCTCTGAATTTCTGGTAACAGCCGGACTCCTCTTTCCTACTAGTACCACCACTGCCACAATGACAAGTGCCGAAGCACGGAGGATGAGCATTCGCGGCTTATGCGCAGGGTCAAGTGCTTGGGATCTAAGGCCCGTGTCTTCAGGCCAACTACGCAGACTCCCTACCTATTTGGACTGTGGGGGCTCAGGACTCGGGGTGTCAGGGTTTGGGGCCCCGATCTCAGGCACTTAGGTTAGTTGATTTGACGCTCGGTCCTCGGGTTTAACATTTCGAAGGTTCACGAGCGTTCCTGGCCTGCTTTTCAGCTCACTCAAAGATCGTAAGACCCTAAACCCGCAACCTGAAAACATTCAACATCCGAAACACTACTTTCAAGATTTCAAACCCGGTAGCTGGTTGTCCGAGCCAAGCTGCCAGCGTCAGGCCCGTGTCGGGGATACACGGGAGACTAGCACCCAACTGCCCACATCCCAGCGGGATCTACAGGGAAACGGCCCTCAAGGTACGGGGTTTGGGGAATTTGACGTTCAAGGCTGTCTATTGGGCAGCAATCTCTCGGGTGCCGCATGTAAGACCCCTGCTTCTTGTGGGATACAGGCCCATGTATGCTGAATGATGAGAGGTCTTCACGCCAGCATTCCTCCACAGAACGAAGGGAGCATATAGGCCCACTTTGAATTGGCAGCTGCTCACCACCTATCAAAGCCACCAACATCTTCACCATCGTCATCACCGCCGTCATCGTGATCGCAACAATGATCACAACTGCTGTGACAATCGTCATGCTCATCATCATCATCATCAACAACGCCATAATCATCGTCGTCGTGATATGGTTTAGAGATGAGTTTTGAGTCGCAGCGAATGCAGTAGGGAGCTGGCAGGCATCGCCGGAGTGCACAAGACAATCGCCTACAAGTCGTGGGCAGATTACCTCAGGGCTTTCTGAGTATGTTTGCAACCATAAGCATGACAAGCTCCACTTTACGTTTATTCCGCAGCTTTGTAACCCTTTTTGTATAGGGGATTTAGATTGCAGCTGAGCTTTTTGTGGGCAGCTTCGCGTTCACCTCCGCTGGAAAATGGGTCTGGCCATCGACCCGAAGATTGCGAGCAACGCAAAGGTGAAACTTCGCTAGACGGTTAGACGCACAAAAGATCAGAAAATCACTGCAGTATTGGAGTTTGGGATCGTAAGCACGCAATATTGCAAGGACAAGTTCCTGAAGTACCAAATCCGATTAGGACCTCCTGGCAAGTCAAACCCAAAAGAACAAATCTGGATTATTTAGCCCTCTTCTTGAGAAGGTAGTCGAAGCGCTCACCAGTTTCGCAGCGCGGACGCACCTGAGCCGGTCAAGCAATCAAGCTTGAGAAAATTGGGTTAGGCTTTGGGCTTAGAGTTCAGGCCTTTTGGAGAGCGCCGGGTTAGGGTTGAAGAGGAAACTCCCACCAGAAGTGGCGGGTGCCGGTACACGAGTATTGCTGCTGCTACTTTTACTACTACTGCTTGCGCATCTTGCCGGTACGACGGCTGATCACAGGTCCTGGTAGAACCCGAGAAGGTTACACCTTCCTCAAAAGCACAGGGCGCCGGCAGGAGCTGCACACAGGCGGCTCTGGAGGCAATGCTAACCGAAGGAGTAAAATAGCAAGGAAGCTGCAACGTGAGCGATTGAAATGCCCATTGCGTAACCAACATTCAACAAAACCGTTAACACGCGGTACCGGGGAGAAGAGAAACGACAGAAGTAGAAATAGAGCGCAGGACAGATTCAGCCTGATTCTGGAGATGCAAAAACAACTCTTGCACTCAGCAGGCGGCGCCGGTCCAGCTTGCGATGAGCGCCTCGGCCAATTCTGCCGCACCCCATTTAGTCGTCCTCGGATCTGAATCGAGACTCCAAGAGCCTTTGGGCCTAGAGGGCCTACAGTGTATCCGAGGCGACGACATCCCAAACCTTTGATTCATGGAGGCATCGAGCCCCAAACCGGTCACCAAAAACCCTCATCCGTAAACCCGAAGAGCCTCAAACCCTAAAGCCCGATTTCTCGAATCCTCAACCTCGCAATTTCCGGGGAGCTGGCACCCAGGCCAGTGAAGAAGCCCGTCCTCGAGGGGTGTGGTTCTTTGAAGCGGCTGGTAGGAAGGTTGTGGGGATTCTGGGATACTAGGCCTGTCAAGCTGTAGATCTCTAGGCTTAGGGAATTTAGCTTTAAGGCTTCATGGCTTAAGGCTCTGTGGCACATGTGCTTTGCCTACTGCCTGCAGGCAGGGGCTCAAAGCTCTCAGGTTCTGGCTTGCGCTTTCGGGGCTGCTGACTGGAATTGAAAGTTCCGGGGGTTCAGCCCACAGGGTTTCGGGCTTCAGGCGCCGGCCTTTGGACGTGGGATTGCGGCGGCATGTCATGTATTGGCAGTGGAGGACTTCTCCAATGGTCGAAAAGCCGTCGTTCGCTAGTAAACCCCTACTTCGGTTCGGGCCCTTAGACCCTAAACCCGTCGAATTCCCAAACCCAAAGCCTGTTCACCCTCAGCACAAAGCCGTCCCGCAAAGTCAAACCGGCAACCCTAGATCATCGTACCTCTTAAGTTGAAGAGGTAAGAACACAACGAACTGCAAACTGATGAGCTCAAGGTTGACCGGCAGAGTTTCAATGATGTGTGATCAAGGGGCTTGAGGGTACGCGGAGTACGGTTCTTCGGGCTTCGGAAGGCTTAAACCTTGACCCCTAAACTCGACGCTGAACCTTACTTCCGAAGCCCCAAACCCTATTAAAAGCCTGAACCCCACCCTCACAGCGGCGTCTCTCCTGTCCAAGAGGGGGTTCATGTGGCCCGTTACGATGCAGTAGTTGGTCTCGTAAGGGGCCTTGTGGTGGCGAAGGTGAGCCTTCCGGTGCACCAGAATGCCAACCTGCGGCATTTAATGTAGGGCTTAGGGCCCCAAAATACAGGACCGTCGGGCTAGCGCTTTAGGACTTCCGGGTGTTGTTTACCAAGCCTTCCCTCCGATCCGCCCTGAACTCCAGTAGGTTAACTTTCGCTCCTGCTCTTGTTCGGCTCTTATGACGGTCTTGTCACTGCCATCGGAGATGCTCCTGTTCAACAGTTCCTGGTCTCTGTCTTTGCTGCTGTCGCACATCTTGGGCCCTTGCAGTCGGTTTTAGGGTTTAGGGTTTGCTGGCTCGAGGCAAGAAAGGTTTCAGTGGCTGGAGTTCTGGGCGGACTGGAGGGGAGGCTTGCTTTGCACCGTCTTCGGTGCGAAATGTGTTGCAGAAGGCCCCCAAAAAATCCAGCTCGATGTCTCTTCAGGCCCGAAATAACGAAACCATCAAGGAAAAAGCTCTGCTGAAAATGGCCCAGGAGCGTCTTGAAGCCAGTTTACAACGGGGTGGCATTGCGAGCGGAGCGTGTGGCTCCACTTGTGAAACCTCTGGAACGCAGCAGCATCGCTGCCAAGATCTGCAGCAATGGGGATCTGACGGGGCAGTACTGGTTTTTGTGAGCTTTCCGGCTCCCTCAACCCCGAGCCCTCAGCCGCCCCCCCAAGCCGACACCTGAGGAGTCGGCTCCTGGCAGAAGGCAATGCCTGCACAAGCAACCACTGCCTCGGCTTCGGAGCCATCCTCTCTTCAGGGCTTCCGGGCTTTTGGGGGTGTAGGGCTTAAGGCTTAAGGCCCCAGAGATCTCGTGAAACGCGTAGGGTCATCCTCATGGTAAGGTTTATATCAAGCCTAACCCTTCTGGCACCCAGTTGGTGCTACTATTGAACGGCCCGGCGAACCAACAAACATCGCTTTCATACCTGAATCTCCCTCGTATCTCCTTTCTGGGACCAGTTGAGATTGCGGGCTTTATGTCTTAGGGGCCGTGGTCAAGCAGGCTTAATGATGTGGCGTCCCGGGCACTGGGGGGAGGAGAGTGAAACCACTTGCTTGTATATGATGCCTCCAGCCCTCCCGAGTCGCTGAGCTTCCTATGCACAATCAGCTCTCACAACGACAGCTGAGCCTGAAGCTCAAACCTGAAT